GAATGATGACAGAATCTTCATTTTTGGAGTAACTATCCATTTAACTTTGAAAAAAAGGGGTTGGAATGATTTGTGACTAATCTTAGAAAACGATAAACTTGCAACACAAATGCCTTCACCTTTCACACACACCGTTATTAGCTGAATCAATTAAGCGTTACTGCGCCTTTAAGAAACCTGTTCAACGGTGAGATTTAACAGTGCGCATGCTTGAGAATAGAGGAATTCTTTAAAAATCCTACAATGTGATTTTCTGGAATTTTTTTTCTCATTTTGTCTCTCATAGTTGAGGTATACCTATGATAAAAATTACAGGCCTCTCTCATCTTTTTAAGTGGGAGAACTTGCCCCACTGTATATATAATGTGTGCGTGTATGTGTGTATGTGTATATATATATATATATATATATATATATATGGGTGGTGGTATTATTCTACCCACGTTTTTCCATATACCCCCACTAGTCTGAATGTAAATCCATCTTGTTGAATCTGTCCTTTTCCCCTGTTTATGGGAACAATGCATATTTATGAACACTGAATATGAATGTTACGCATTCTAATGGTTGTCCAAGTTTAATTCATAGCTGAAACAGTAAAGCATGGCACCAGAAAGGAGTTGTGAGAGAGAGGATGAGAGAGAAATGATGTGAAGAAACTATAGATGTCCCTACAGAAGACTGGACACATCCTTCCACCGACACATGCCCACACCCACTGCCAAGGGTTATTTTTACTGCCAGTTACTGTGTAAGTTGTGACGTGCAAGCCCCATTACTGATATTTATGGAACACAAATTGAAACAGAGAAATGATACGGCATTCCCCGCGGACCCATCCACTCTTAATAGTGGTCGGTAAATGGAGTGAAGAAGGGGACTCAAAAATGCTGACGGTGCAATTATTTCGGCTGCCATACACTTCAGTTCTCATAATGATTTTGGAGACTGAGCGAAGCCCAAATGTAATTAGGCATGACAAACAAGTGAGCTCAGGTGACCTGCATAAAGACAACATTGCATTCAAATAAAACTAGCAAGAGAAAGTATTTTGCATAATGTGACCGTATAGAGTTATAGGATAGACCTTTTTTCTCCAAAAGCCTCTTTTTAAAAAGAAGTTTTATTTTCTTGTTAAACCTGAGTTTTGGGGTTTCTACAAGGATGTACAGTATTTCTCACTTCAGGGGATTCCCTTAAATGAGCCATAAAGAACAGAGCTGAGATCTCACACGCCACGCTAATATTTTTGAATATTTTATAATGCTAATGCATCTAAGTAGTCCAGCCACTCTCTTCTGGCTTTTGTCAGCTAAAATGTCTAACTAAAAATATTTTACTGTTATAATGGGGGGGGGGGAACTCTTGTGTTGAAATAAAGCTCACAATTTGGACTCAATAAAACCTGATCCCGGTAGGACCTAAGATTGTGTATGTGTGTATATTAATATAAGATTGTGTGTGTATATACAATAGGAAAATATATAGCAATGGTTCAGGTTATTAAACAAACTACTAAGCTAAAATGAAAGGCGTCGGATGAGAGCCGGAACGGTGGGTGTAGTCTTAGGTAGGAGATGATGCTGGTGGTCTGACTGTCCTGTAGTTTGAGTTTCTGGGTATCTCTGTTTAGGAGTTACGAGGGAGGGCAGAGGTGGTGCAGAGGGCCGCATGTGAGTCATCCAGGGAGCCTGTGAAAACTGTGGGAGCGTGGAAAGAACAGAGGAGAGGAAAGGAAGACTAGAGTGATGAAGTGATGCAGTTTTGAGAAAGGAGAGGAAGCGATGACGTGTTATCTGAGGGAGGTTCTGGATGCTGCGCTTAGACATTCAGAAGAGCATCAGTGTGGTGTCCTCAATACTGGCTCTGACCCCTCCACATTTTTATACAATGAGGCTGCATTTTATTCTGCTTAACCACTTCAAGGGCCTTGTCCCTAAGCAACATAGCCCTCCATCCATCTCAACGGTCTTCATTTTAAATACCACAAACTATACTCACCTGCCACAGTGTTTACAACCTTGAGCCATTCGTTCTTTGAAAAATTTCTTCCGTAGCATCCATGCTCATTAATGTGTCCTGACAGCGCATTGTTGATCCTCATCTGATCATGGAGAACTAGTACGTGTTAGTCTGCAGTGCACCAAGACCTGCAAGAGCAAAACAAGTCACGCATGGATGAATGTGAGGCAGTAAGCTCAGTAAAAGACAAATGTTTAAAAGTGAACATAAATAAACCTTTGAAAGAAACACTGATCATATTCGGCATAAGCTATGTAATGTGGCCAGAAAAGTGCTGTATTGTAAGGGTTTTGTTTCTGATGTAGTAAATAAGCAGTTATCTATATAATCATAACTATTTCAATCCATAAAGACATGGAAAATACATTAAAAGTACATTTAAAAACTCCTGAAAAACCAGATCTGAAGAAAAGCTGTCTCTGGTTGCATTATATCTTAAGCAGACTGGCAGGGATGAGAGATGCAGTTGTGTGTAATCAACTTATTCTTGAAGTAAAGCAAACCCAAGATGACAACAGACAAACACACACACACACAGAGAGGATCAATTGTCAGGTATATGCTATCATATCCCACTAGTGACTAACAAGCAAATCAGTTAGATTGTGATTGTTACTGGCAGTAATCCAGGGCCTGGTGTGGATGAATGGATGGATGGATGCATGAATGAATGAACTTGTTGAATCAAAACAGCAACTTGTGAGTTTAAAGGAAACAGTGTGTCAGTGCTAACCAGAAAATAAGTTTATGTTTGGAAGGGCTCTGTCCACTGAGCTTTTGAACTTGTTCTCCCTTTCTTTCCTCCCAGCTCGTTTACTGTGCGTGTCCGTGTTGCCCAAGCATACTGTTTACTGTTGCTCTGAGTTATAAATACAATAGCGTTTCATGTCTTTTACAACTCTCCGGCTCGAACGAATCTTGGCTCATATGCGGGTAAATACCACCTATTACTCATGTTACTTTCCAGCACATTTGTAGGACACATCCAAGCATAGCGCCTCGTCACTGCATAACAATTAGATGTCTGAGTGTTCGCGCTCTGATGGAATTTTACTGATAACAGACAACGGTCGTACTTGGATTTCGTGACTTCCACTTCATTCTTTGTCAAGATAAAGGCGTACGGGGGAAAATAACGTTGTCCGTTCTTTACGTTGACAGCGTGCCTCAAGACTGCCGAGGATTCAGCTTTTTTCTTTTCCTATAGTACACCCATAACGAAGCTCAAATCTGCAGTGCACAGATGTAAGTATGGTACTTAAACCCATGTTTTTCCTCTGTTTGGCTTTCAGTAGCACAGCTTTGTAGCAGCAGCAACAAGTCTCCCGAGAACTTGGTCCTACTTGGCAGAAAATAATATTGTGAAATGTGATCTTACCTGACTTATCCCTCAGCTGGGAACACAGCCAAATATGAAAAATGTCTTGAACTGTACCGGTTTCGCGTAATGTTGACATATCACGCGCAATGCACGCACAGACACACGAAAAAAAGTGCACATTGCTGTCTTGGATGCGCAACTTTTCTTATGGTCATTCATTTTCACTCCGCGTCTCGGGGTTGTAGTTGCTACCTAAACTTGACCGCCTTCGCGTCTTTCAATCACGTAAGAGCACTAGCGGCTTTTCTCTGAGTGAGGGCACTGCGTAAATCTGTATAGGGTTTTTGGGTAAATCGCGACTGGTTGCTATTTGTCCTGTCGGCACAGTCACCAAGGTGTTAGAGAGTTTAAGCACGCGGATATTGCAAAGGGTTATTAGATTCATAAGTCACCCAAGTGGTGGGCGATCTTCTGAGCACGGCAGAAGTTCTCATATGATGACTTCAAACAAGACACATTACCTACCAGCATCTGTTGGAGTGTGTGGATATTAAGACACTTCTATCTCTAGGACAGCATAGGGGAACATGGTAAGTAGAACGGAAATACTACACTTAAAGGAATAATTACTCCAAAAGGCATGGCTTGTGTTTACACTGTAGGGTTGGTATCAAAATAACAGATTTTGATGTACGACACATACGAGTGCTCTCGTGCTTATGGACCCTAACGCTGAAGGCTACTTACACGAGGGTTCAGGTTTGCGAACATAAATGTAAAACTTTGTAATGCTGCTGTTTTCTGTGATTCGTAGGTAGAGAATACATTTAAAAAAATCTGAGCAAACCTAACGCAGGCACATAAACAGCCGTAGAGAATATACATTCTAATTGGGTTTGTGCCCTTGTTGCGCTATGTGCCAATCTGCGCTTTGATGCCTTGTTGGGCTTTTAAGCTTTTATACTGAATATCATTTTTACAAGTGCTCTCTCTGTAAGTGAAAAAGCAACATGTGTAGATATGTCCATCTGCCCCGCAGGACAAAAGCAGAGCACCAAGGAGCTATTACTGTGTGATTTGGGGACATGGGTTTCAAGCCATTTGGGGGGACTCCACTTAAGAGGGTTATGAGCGACTTTTCAGATAAGTGATTCTTTTGTTAAGAAAACCACCGGCCAACATGTGATCAAATATTAACAGGACCGGCTTGCCAATGATATATTCACGTGACAAGGCGTGGGGAAGCAATAGAGTAAAGCAATATCAAGTGGCACTTAACGAAAGTATAGATTTTTGCCTCTAAGTAACCTTAGCTGTGCTATGATTTCAGCACTTTGGACAGAGGCACCGGAGTCGTTGAACGCTGCGGACTAACACGGAGTGAGTGGACATCGCCTTTTGTGTTTTGCAGTTCTTTTGCCAAAGCTAGGGAATTGTTTCACTTTTTCCTTCTTTTTTTCGCTTTCGGAGGGAGACCGGTGAAAAAACAAAACAAAGAAACAAACGCGAGGAAAAGAACCAGTCGATAGTGGGGCTGCTTACTTGCGCTTGGAGTTTTGTCGCCACTTAGAGCATGTGAAAGTTGCAATGGTAGAGCTGCTGTAGTGTACGCGTACTTTGCAAGCTCCACTTGGTGCACAGCGTTAACTTTGGGAAATGCAAGTGTTGGTCTTGGAGATCTAACCACTGATAGTGGTTGTCAGCTCTTAAAAAGGTAAGACCTGTTTGTTTTATTCTCCACTTAACTAGCAACCCTTCTTGGGCAGATGTTTTACTTCTACATAGAGAAATGGCACCTCTTTAGGCATTTTAACTTTGATTAGTGGTTACGGATAGAGAAAATGTTGCGCTGTGAGGAAGAGCTTTGGGTAGAGATGGTAGAGAGCAGGCACTTAGTCATGAGGGAAATGTTATCCTTTTACATTTTTCCTCTACTTTACTCCTATGGTTTTACACTATGACTAGAGCAGAAAACCAAACGGTGACAAAGTTTTCAATTAGCTACCACAGCTCTGTCACGAATTCATTGAAAATGAATAATGTATTAATTTCTATATCTCACAGTTCACCCCTATAGAGACGTTCATATTTAGCAGTTATTTTACATGAGTTGTTATTTATAGCGCAACACAAACAATGTAAGTAAATAGTGCATGTCAGTGCGTAAACAGCTGACTTTCCGTCCTCATCATAATCAAATGCGTGCGGAATTCTTGTTGTCTTAAATGCGCAATTGTCTAGCACACGCTTTTCTTTGCTTGCTGAATAATGGGGCTTGTCTTTAATAAAATATACGACTCAGCACGAGCTACCTCCTACTTATTGTCTTGCTGAAAACGAAAAGATCCAGATCTATCTATCTATCTATCTATCTATCTCTGTAGCTGTCATTCTCATCATCCTTTCTTATCAGCTAAATGTTGTTTTCGTTAGCATGGAGGGATAATTTATTCGTTGAATCGATCCTAAAGTGGTGCAACCAGCCCTATCAATGTAATCGCGTCTGTAGCATCTCCGCACTTCGTCATCGTGGACATATTGCTAGTGTTTTTACTACGGACCGCTTCTCCGTTTCATTCATCCCGAGATTTCTCTTTAATAAACTCAGCACGAGCTACCTCCTACTTATTGTCTTGCTGAAAACGAAAAGATCCAGATCTATCTATCTATCTATCTATCTCTGTAGCTGTCATTCTCATCATCCTTTCTTATCAGCTAAATGTTGTTTTCGTTAGCATGGAGGGATAATTTATTCGTTGAATCGATCCTAAAGTGGTGCAACCAGCCCTATCAATGTAATCGCGTCTGTAGCATCTCCGCACTTCGTCATCGTGGACATATTGCTAGTGTTTTTACTACGGACCGCTTCTCCGTTTCATTCATCCCGAGATTTCCACTCCTCTCCTCCAGCATCACCTGCTCATCTCGCTCCCCAGCGCACAGGTCTGTCTGTGCACACGCCGAACAGTTGGGAACCACTTAGAGCTAAAAGCTTTCGCCACAGATAACATATCATGTTAAAGTATTATGAATTGCCTCGCCAAAAATAGCCCGATGGTCAAAACATTGTGTGTGTGTGTTTGTGTGTTCCTATATATATTTCCAGTTAAAGTGAATAAGAATTTGGATAGGCGTGGTCAGATTTTGTTCAGACTGGGTTAGATGGAGCCAGCGATAAGATTGCCTGATAAGGAAATGGCTGAGAGGGTGTCACGCGTATTGTGGAGAAAGCTGGAGAAAAGCTGTGCAAGACAGAGGCGAAATTAGGACAGTCAGCGTTTTAAAGGAGACTTTCGCTGATGATTTTCTGACTTTTATGCCGACTAAGTTTAGGAATTCGTCTCGGTTGCTGAGAGGGATGAGCGGAGGATATTGGCTACGGTCGCCTTTTTTCCCCTTTGTATCCAAGAATCTGATTAAAGGGTGAAGCGATTGAATGACAAACAGACAGACATGAAAGCCCACGGGCGCCTCAGCACTGCGTTAATCAAGAGTCTATCAGGCGGGAGACATTCAGTGTGTCATTTAGCTGCTTTTAAATGATCCTTATGACTGTTTCTCTTTGTCCGGCAGCGTTAGCTCCTCTCGGCACTGCTAAATCGGTAATTTCTCTATTAAACATTTTTTTCCTTATTATAATCGTACGAAACATGTTGTCGAGAAAATCTCTGTTGCCACAGAACAATGTATCGAACATCTGACTTTAAAGTGACATAAATCAAGTGGGACAGCAGCATATGTTTTTGGACAAGTCCGAAAATAATAGCAGCTGGTTTTAGCTATAACTAGATTTTATTATTGCCGTTTTGTCATTGTAATCTTCGTAATGCTCTTGTCGTTTTGTTATGCACATTATTGTTGACATGCAACAAAACGGTCACGACCGCCGTTTTTATGAGCAAATATTTCATGCATAATTTCAGCTCTGTGTTTTTCAACGAAATAATGCTTATTTTTTTTATTACAACTAATCCAGTGGCGAATGCCTAAATACTTATGCATCAATATTTGAAATATAAAAATATTTTTTTAGCTTTGTTTAGAGTCAAATGTTGTTGTTATTAAACGATTATTTGTGTGTGGTTTTATTACACCCCTAACGGCTCGGAGTCATGTTTTCATTTATTGAATGCATTTTTTTATTTCTAAACATAAACCTATATATAATATAATTTTAGTTCATAAGACAGAGAGGGATAGAGATGTGGTGTGGGTGTGGGCATGCGGGGGGAGGGGGCTGGAGGCGGATGCGGGGAGGGTGGGGGGTGCTGGGGGATGGCACGACACACTTTGTATGTACGGAAGGTTTTTTATAGAACTTTCTGCAATGTACGTCATCGGATCAGTCCATAAATGGGGTTGTGTTATCTAGCTGAGAATCTCCCTCTCCGCCCCCCCCTCCCCTCCGCTCTCCGATCGCTGCAGAGTTAAGGGTGGGCGTCAATAACAAATCTGAGCTTGGTAGGTTTTAATTCAGACATCACATAATGCTATTGTGGCATTATATTTTTACAGTTTAATCCGCGTTTCCTTCATCTTCGTTTGACTGACCGCCGCGGATGATAAGGAGATATTTATTTAAGAACTAAATATGAAAATTGTTTTGTTTACGGAGAGCGGCTTTCTTAATTAACTTTTATAGAGATGTACCGACTTATTGCGCCCTGCTTCACTCGCGGGATGAATTTATTATAGGCCTACTGAATATGCAGAGTTCCTTTGGGAAATAAAAGCCTGTGCTCCTCACAATTGCGAAAAAGGAAAATGTCCGGGTTTTTATTTACCCCCCTTAAAAGAGTCTATTTTGCGCACATAAATAGTCTCACAATTTTGCGATCAACAATAGTAATAACTATAAAAAATACCAATCATCATATTGAAATTAATCACAATTTTAATAAAGGCTAATTTCCTGATGCCAAAATTATTTGAATGATACTTCCGACGCTTTTAGTGTGTGATACTATTTGGACAGTATAAGTCTTATATACTATAAGTCAATCAGCATCTCCGATCGCGGGATATTCCGCGCAAGAAAACCTCGAGAGGTTTGAGGAATTGGGGGCGCGCTCAAGCAGGAGCGTCACTTGCGGCGCTCTAGCGCAAAGCGCTCGTTCTGCAAGACGTCGTGTGATATTTCCACTTTATGGTGTAATTCCTCCACAACCTGCTTGTAAACGACGCTCGATATGTATGTTTTTACTGTAAGACTTTTGAAAAGAACCTTGCTATTTAGGGTGCTGTGACCCCATTGTGTTTGCATGACTCACTCATTTCAATGCAATGACAAAATGGGAAGATGGGGCACTTGAGCGAGTGTACATACGCAAACGTACGCTCCACATTACAGACTAAACAACACTAAATCATTGACGTTGACTGAGTTTTTTAAAGTATACTCTGCATGATTTATGTTTCATCATTCATATTTTTGTTTACAGCTGGCTTGTGTGGGAAATGTTTGTGAAGACTCAGATACACTCTTAAAAATAAAGGCGGAGTTCCTGTTTCATAGCAAAGTATGGGTTCCTCTAAGAACCTTTCATTAAAAACCATTTTTCTTGGTGTGAAGAACATTTTTCCACAATAAAAAACCTTTTGTGAAATGGAAAGGTTCCATGGATGTTAAACGGTTCTTCGTGGAACCATAGATGCCAATAAAGAACCTTTATTTTTAAGAGTGTATTTCAGTGTGCAATCTGGTGCCATGCTGACACCCATTTTGTGGTTTCTTTTTGTTTTTCATTGCAGCACTGATGGTCAGAAATGACATTGTTCACTTCCCTGTGCTCTGTGACAGTACTGTGATGTGTTTGATAAATGTTGTAAACTGACTTTATTGGCCTGTCACACTATGAACTGGTCTAGTTTTCTAATTTTCTAGCAGTGGCCCAAAGCTCTTTTTTCCCCCAAGAAGCCATCGCCTCTGTTTTTACAGCTAGTTTTGACACTCTAAAAGTTTGTTATCTTGCCCTGGAGTAGTGGAAAGTATTTCACCATTTCAGGTTTGTACAGGTCACAGATCTCCTCCAACATGTTCAGAGAGATGCTTCATTAAGTGTCACAAGGCAACTTCAAAATCCTATTTTGCCATTGTGTGGAAGACCTGTTCTGTCAGCTCCAGGATGGAATATGCTACGATGGGTCAAGACAGAACACAAGACAACAGATGGCGAGTTTTTGAGAAAGCTGAGGTGACGTCATTAGCGACCCGACCTATTGGATAGAGACACGGCCATCGCTTCTGACGCCGCTCCGACTCTCTCAACATTCAACACTTTGAACACGCCGATCCTGATGGTCAAGTTTCAGCAAATGTTTCAGATCTAATGTCCATACTGTATATTTTGTCTTCATTTTGTAGACCCTAAAGTTTCCACAAAGTTGCAGCAAATGAAAGTCAAGGTCTTCCCACAGTTCATCTCTTGCTGTATTCTCATTAGTCCATATGTCCACTTTGTGGTTATCTTAGTTCTGTCTGTGGTGCTGGTGTCAACTTTGTGCTGTATGTGCAGTTCTGAATGAGATCCATGTTGTTTTTGTGCTCCTAATGAGAAGCAGAGTGATTTATTTATGGATTACCTAGCTGGAACAGCCTTAATGCACAGTGTGAGAGTGTACATGAGTGAGTGTGTGTGTGTGTGTGTGTGTGTGTGCGCGCACGCATGCGTGCATTTTACCTCTCTTGGAGTCATGTCGCTCAGTAATTGCTGATGCAACTCTTTGTCATCCAGGGTTTGCCCTCTCCTCCTGTGAACCTATGGGATGAGTTATATTCAACTTGGCTTGTCCCTATAGGAGAGAGGAAGGGACTGTAAGCAGGAGTATGTCAAAATGAGTGAAGGTGAAAGTGTATTCGTGAAAGTATGCAAGTTAAGTAGTGCAAAAAGAAGATGAGAAGGAGAGAAAGAAATAAAGAGAGAGGGAGTTAGTGTGTGTATGTGTGTGTGAGGAGGCAGGTGTTAGCATCCACTCCCATGCTGGGAACAGCTAGGTTTGAAACCGCTCCACCCCATTACCTTATGCAGAGAATAATCATCATCACTATACACCAAACTCATCAATATAAATCTTGCATTGGACTAGATCCAAAAGCAATTGGAGCTTTAGAGTCCTGGTGAAAGTATGGGGCTAATGATGTGGTGTATAGCATGGGGTGAAAGAACAAGGAGTAGTTCTCCTAATCTCCTCCTGGAAGGTCATGTGAAATACTGCATAGAATAAATAGTAAAGCTGGAGTCGAATAGCAAAATTATATCACTGCCCTATTAGTTTGAACATCTCTGACCATTTACCTTACAAATATCAAACAAACCACTCCCATTATTGGAGGAACATAACTGACACTGGAAGAACAATGAATAGTATTAAAAGCAATGAACCAACATCTGGCACATAAGCTCCTTTGGCAGACAGAGGGACTCGAGCTGACAATAGTTTAAAATATCACATACAGAGAGGGCCAGGGAATAATAGGTCCTTGATGTGGTGGGGGCAAGGAGTGAGCTCTTTACTTTGAAGCTACCTTTGTGGAGTCACAATTGCAAATATCAATTTCAGCAGATGATCTATAGTCTTGTCACAAAAAGGTGTTTCATATTAACCTAACGGCTGTCCATTAGGAAGCTGTTGCAGCATTTGGTGGCAGAAAAGCCAATGAATTTAAAGTGAATTTAAGTTGGGCAAATGCAATAACTGAAAACCATAAATTATCTTTTGAATGGAGAACTGCGAATGTAATAACTTAAAACAATAAATTATTATTTTACCGATTGTACAAAAGAAGCTTTCTACATGAAACTAAACTAGATTTCAGGTGTTCACGTGTTGCTAAAGTTTCTTATTTTGTCTAAATACAAATAGTCAACAAAAATGAAACAAAACTGAGTTCGCATTAGCTTAAGTGATTCACTTTGGTAAACAAGGAATCATATTATATATATATAGTCATTGAGACAAATACACCAAAGCAATCTAAAATCTTCTCTCAGGCTACAAGCATTTTCCCTCACTTTGTTTTTGTTCTTTTCAAATACTTAATCATGCATTGTTAAATGTCTTTGTCCTTAAGGAGTGAATACCTTTTTCATTTTTTCTTTAGAGTGCTAAGACTAGCGTCTGAAAAGTGTCTGTTACCACAATTCTTTTAAGTTGGAAAAGTCTTATACATCTGTAATGAGTGGTTTTGTTTCTTAATCCCCCTATGACATGGAGATTTAAGCAAATGCAGTTGTGGGGGAATCAAGATCATGCAGACCAATCTATCCTGTCCTACCTGCCCCTTTCCAAACAACTGAGCAGGTGCATGTGGTCTTTTTGCCAAAACCATAGAGCTGCCACTCATGCCCAATTAAAGTACAATCATGTTTTACAGTGAAAGCCGTTTGAACGTGCTCCTACCAAGCCCCAGCCATATGGATCAAATACAGCTGTGTGGGTGAAGTATTTCATCAAGCGTTCTGTATCTTATTTTGTAGATAGAGAGCTTGAAAGATCACTGAAGGCTGGATGGTTTGTCATATGAGAGGTTTGATTGATGGAAACCTGGTTTGTTGTATATTCAATGCCTCATAATGAATCTGGCTTCAAAGGCCTAACAAATGGGACACAAAAAGCATGAATTAGCAGCTTTGTTTACCTAACAGTTGAACCGATTATTTCGGCATTAACCATGAAAGTCACCTTTTTTATTTTGGACATTTAAACACCTGAAACCGTGACTGGATTCTTTTTTGCGGCGGCTACAACCGCATTGCCACTCACTTTCTGTGACCCATCTAAAACACCTGTACTGCCTGTGTACACAAACATAACTGATGTTTGCACATCATACCATACGATGACAGGAGATTGTGATTATCATGCGCAGCTCAAACGCACGCATATTAAAAGCAGAACAAACATGTCCGTCAAGGTAATCTTGTCTTCCCTCGCTGCTTTGAATGAGACAGAAGGTCTCAGTTATTGCCAACTCAGTCCCAGAGCAATAAAGTGATTCATCGTCTAGATTACCGTTTAACAGGAAGTTGATTGAGAGCATAATCCATATTGATTCTCTTGATGGAAACAGGAAATAGCAGAGTTAGAAATAAAATTGTTTGTTGTTCCTGGTGAAAAGGGACCCCAGAGGAAAATAGAAAGCAATTGCGAGCTGATGAGTGGCACTGCCCCCTAGCACCACTCCTTCTAGCCCCACCGCCCTTTTCTTCTCATCTCCCTTTGAGACCAGAGAGAGACGTCATCAGGGATGTTGTGCTCTCGGCCTCCACCCCCTGCCACACAACTACACACCGGTGCTCTAGTCTAATTAGGAGGTAAAGATACAATTTAGTCAGCGCTGTGCGCTAACGTTCAGTAGTCAACAATAACTGACCTTCGCCCTTTTACATGACACCTCAAAGCCATGTAGCTCTGTAATATATTTAAGGTTATGTATTACCGGTAGGATTTGGATGAGAGATGGCATTGGTACTCCACCTGCTGTCAGGTAGGGCAACAGAAGGGATTTGGGTTTCACTTATTGGTAAGCCTTTGCAATATATATAAATACTTCTCTCATTAGGGAGACGACAGATGTTTGCTAATTGGGATCATCCTGAAACTGGGGCGTTACTGGGCTGTGCTGCTCTGTGTGTGTGTAAACCCACATTAAGGTTGTCTTGAGAGCAGGAACGCTGACAATAATCCATCCGTCCTCACAGGCGCGACACATCTGGAGGAATGAAATAAGACAGAATCATTGAATAATCCTCAGGCAGGCACTTTAAATTCCTCGCTATATTCAGCAGAGGTAATTGCTGACAATGTAAGAAGCTTTTTCCATTACGGGGAAAGCTGACAGACTGAAGTATCTTTTCATGCCCGCAGAAGCAGCTTGTACACACATTTTGCGCGCTGCCTGATTTGATTAAGATTGATCTGTCCTCCACAGCTGTATCCTCAGCTCTGGGTTTTTCCATGCTTGTTTTTGACCATTTGAGAGGAGAGATTAAAGATGCTCCCACCTCATCTCCCTAGCCAAACACACACACACACACACATACATTGGTGCCCACACGCTCTCTCACACACACACCCCTCGTGGACTGCGACGTCACTGAGCGAGGGGACTTTGAGCTCATTAAGTAGAGGGCTGTGATATTCTGAATCGAGACTGTGGGACTCCCAACCGGCCTATTTATAGAAAGCACATCTCCATGGCAGTCATCGCTGCGCTAGCAAATCGCAGCCGTGGCCCCAGACACCAATTAAGAATGAAACAAATGCCTTTTAGACAGGGCGTGTCCCTCCTTCTCTCCTACCGGCCCATACTGCCTTCTGCTCTGGGAGTAGATCCTCCCTCTGCCTCTTCCTAAAGCTGTGTGGGGCATCGGGAGGACAGCACACAGAGAACTGGCGAAGCCTTGCTGCGGTGCTGGATATTTTTAAATGCACTCCCCCCTCCGCCCCCCTTTCCCCACCCCTACCTCTCCCCTTCTCCTTCTCCTCAGAAAAGTGAGAGTAATGGGTATTTTTTGTTGTTGTGTATGCATGTTCCCCTGTCTGTTCGTATGCGCTGGGATGCCGTTGGATGCAATGAATCGCAGTGACTCATAAAGGGACTTCAGAGAGGTAAGAGAACACTGCAGAGAGGAAGGGAGAGAGGAGGAATCAAATAGGTTCACGGTTTCCTGGAATTTTCATGTAGTTGCGTTGCTTTCATAGTCTGGAAAAATGTCATTGATTAGAACATGGCAGTTTGTGTGTAGGTCTGAATGAGTGAATGAATGACTGGGGTCTTTCTGCATTTCTCCTTCTCTGTGTATCTTTCTTAAATCACTCTATTTCAGTTCGTTCTCTGCATTCTTACTGTGACTTTCCTTATCCCTCTTTTTATGAAAAAAAGAAACCTTTTATGATTTTAGTAGTAACAATTATGTATTATTGCAGTAAATATCCAAATGTAAAATAGAGTGAATTCAGTATTGAATTGCTCATAAAAACCCTTGATGATAGAAGCTGTTCTTTCATTTTTTGACTTCACCTATATCTGTTCTGTCTGATACTCACACAAGCAGTTCACACACCTCTAAGGGAACAGAGGAGGCAAGGGAGAAGGAGGAAGGGAAGGGGAAGAGAGAGACGGAGGAGAGTGGGAGCAGTTCTCTCGTGTGTTCCTCTTAATGATACTCCAGGGTCTCTGAATTTAGCCCGCTGTATTAGCTGGTGAGGGAAGGGGGGCACAAACGTGCAGGTGTGTGTGCAGGGACGGAGAAAGCGTGGAGTGTTAGTTGCGCTTCCACGGGCCGGTAACTGAAAATGAAACAAAGAAATAACAAGTTGGCACGTTTTGTTTGTGTCGTACTTTGTAGCGCATTACGGAAAGGATTTGCGAAGCTTCGTTGGGCACAATAACACATGGCCTTTAATAAAGGTGTTTAACATAACGTTTATTGCAGTATGGTGAAAGAAAATGGTTGCTTAACGTTGTGTTGTGTTTTCTCTTCCTCCCTCCCCTTTCCTCACTCCCCCCCCATCCCTCTCGTCTTTCCTCTTTTGCTGTCTCCAGTTCCAACAGGTTAGAAGAGTGATGACCATCCTGTTCGTTACTATGGTTATTTCATACTTCAGTTGCATGAGAGCTGCGCCCATGAGAGAGATCCCGGGCGTGCAGGGGGGTCACCGGGCCGAGGGGTACCTGGGCGCCGCTGCTGCCATCACCTCAGGCAGCCGAGGCCACGGGACTCCACAGAGTGGGGGCGGGCTGCCCTCGCTCACGGACACTTTCGAACAGGTGATTGAGGAGTTGCTTGAGGTGGAAGGAGAAGCGACGCAGCAACTGGACCCCAGGGCCGACCAGGGCCAAGGAGGGGGTGGTCCCGCAGCCATGGCTGACTCAAAGGACGTTGACATGTACGCCTCGCGGGTGATGATCAGCAACCAAGTGCCTTTGGAGCCGCCGTTACTCTTTCTCTTGGAGGAATACAAAAACTACCTGGACGCCGCCAACATGTCGATGCGCGTGCGGCGGCACTCGGACCCCGCGCGGCGAGGGGAGCTCAGCGTTTGTGACAGTATTAGCCAGTGGGTGACGGCTCTGGACAAAAAGACGGCCATAGACATGTCGGGCCAGACGGTCACCGTCCTGGAGAAAGTCCCCGTGACTAACGGTCAGCTGAAGCAATACTTTTACGAGACCAAATGCAACCCCTTAGGGTACACAAAGGAGGGCTGCCGAGGAATAGACAAGCGACACTATAACTCACAATGCCGGACAACCCAGTCTTACGTGCGAGCCCTTACCATGGATAGCAAAAGGAAGATCGGCTGGCGGTTTATACGGATAGACACTTCGTGTGTATGCACATTGACCATTAAGAGGGGCAGATAGTGTACACAATGTATAGATTTTATTGAGAGTTCTAAAAAAGAGACATAAAATAAAAATATCTATTTGTGTAAATACATAACAGGGTAAATTATTCCGTCAGATGAAAATTTTATGGACTGCATGTAAAAAAGATGAAGTTTATACAGTAAAAGTGATACTACAGTCTATTTATTGAACATATTCATGATCTTGTAAACAATTAAAAAAAGATCTGATCAGTCATTCGCGCCCAGTTCAAATTACTATATCACATTCCTCGAGACATTGTGTTTTTTACGTTGCCAAGATTTTGAGAGATGAGGAGAGGAGGGGGTGAGGAAGAATTACATTCAAGGGAAAAAAAAGAAAAAAAAAACTTGCATGCTGCTTCAATATTGAATTGAGAAACTGTCCACTTTGGGAAAACAAGGAAATGATTTCCGACCAAAACATTCCGTTTACATTCTCAACCATAACAGGATTTCCTCCTCTCAGTACTCTGTCTGTTTACTATCCTCAACTTCTCAAGGTAATGTTGGAAATACATACTATGTCAAGGTGCTGTTGTCAAAGCTTTGCTGTTTATTTTTTTATCCCCACAAGATGAAAAAATATATATAAAATATATATAAAATTTATTCATTGACATGTGTTCTGGATTAATATAATTCATTTTGTATGTTGTGAAGTTGTTTGCAATATTAAATTGAAATATTTGAAGAAATAAAATTACTATAGGCAACTGAAAAACAAAACCAATGTCAATAAAGTTTGAGCTCTCCCTTTGCAGGTCTAAATTTGGCACAAGCTTTGGAGAGAACCTCTTCTCTCACAGTGAACATACATTGGATCCTACATTCAAATGATTTCGAAAGGGATAGAGATCCATTGAAGTACCTCCTATTCTCTCACCATATATAAATATCAGTATAATCAAGAGGATCAAAAGCTAGTTTGAAGAATTTCGCAAATGCAGATGAACACATCTATCCAATGTAGATTCAGTTCTCTTCCACAGAAGAACAAACAGTCCAAAGAGTTCTCAGGTAAGACCTATTGTACACTTGGCATGTAAATTCTATGGAAACCAGTCCCTCACGTAATGTTGTCCAGTCAGAGGGTACAGGTCGTCATCACTAGCACTGAGAGATTAGGATTTTCTTTTGTCTGAAAGGTAGATCAATGGAGTCAACACTCCAATGCACTCTTCGTGATATCTGATACACCTGAATACAGACACAGACCTATACACAAGCCTGCTTTCCTTCAAAGGCTGTTATCAGACAACAGAACAGAAATTGTGTGACACTGATACACTGCCACAGATAAGGGAGGACACGGAGTTTCATCTGTTTATGGTAAGTATCTCACTGCATCATAAGTACATGGACAGGGCAGTAAAGAAAGGATGCTCAAGCAGAAAGTCCCAATAAATGATCATGGGTGCATCTTTCTCAGCAAACACATACCATTTTCAGACATATCTGAATCAAATCAAACACCATCGTGTTGATTCAACAAAGAATCATGGTACAGAAACTATAATCATCTATCAGTGTTGCTTAATGAGTAAAACCCTTATAAAAAGAAAATACACAGTCTAAGCCTTTTTTTTACTGCAAAACGCAACCATATACAGCAAGGAAATAGACAATACAATGTTCTCTTGGTGCATTTTACCCGAGAAACATCTTGCATGACTGAGTTATTTTTGTGAGGTTCAGATTTTCCCCAGTTCAAAGTAGTCCTTGGTAAGACCCAGCAGGGCCCTGTCCCATTTGCTACAGAAGTAGGCCATTCTATTCTCTGTTTCCCTTTCTACAATACCAGCAACTAAACTCCTACAATCACTGTTTTAGCAAGCTGGTCCAGTTTGTTTTGTGGCTTTGATCAAATATGAGAACATGAAAAGAGTATAAAAAAAAACCTAACAGAGCAAAATACAGCATCTAATGATAATGCCATAAAATAAGTTCAATTTTATTTTGCAGATTGATTTTGCATATTCCGATGCTCATATATGTAGATGAATCCTTACTGCAAAACGCAACCATATACAGCAAGGAAATAGACAATACAATGTTCTCCTGGTGCATTTTACCCGAGAAACATCTTGCATGACTGAGTTATTTTTGTGAGGTTCAGATTTTCCCCAGTTCAAAGTAGTCCTTGGTAAGACCCAGCAGGGCCCTGTCCCATTTGCTACAGAAGTAGGCCATTCTATTCTCTGTTTCCCTTTCTACAATACCAGCAACTAAACTCCTACAATCACTGTTTTAGCAAGCTGGTCCAGTTTGTTTTGTGGCTTTGATCAAATATGAGAACATGAAAAGAGTATAAAAAAAAACCTAACAGAGCAAAATACAGCATCTAATGATAATGCCATAAAATAAGTTCAATTTTATTTTGCAGATTGATTTTGCATATTCCGATGCTCATATATGTAGATGAATCCTCTTTAAAAAAGTGTTCAAAACATATCAATTTAATATTTTCTTTTTTTATCTGTTCATTTGTCACAGAATAAACGATAAAACCACATAATCTAAAACCTATCCAGAAAACCAGATCATTATTTTACTGAATGGCACTGCTCACTAGGGACTGTATCTTCTACCGAAAGGGAAGACACCAAATGAATTGTCTTAATAAAATAGTATTTGCAACTAATATTCTAAAGTCAAAACGTATATAAAATGATTACAGAAATCCCACTGTAGTCGTGCCAAACAGTAGCCTGTAACTATACTCACAATATAGCACGACTTCTAGTACCTTATGCTTAAATATATTATATATTCCACATATATAATAAAACAAAATGATATTTCCTCGGGCTGATCATATTAAAATTGTGTTTGTTATGGTATGCAAAGTGTCTGCACAGAAGCAGCGCAGGAATGATGCTCTTGACTCGCCCTTTAATCTCTGCATTAGCCACAGCGCTTAAGCTCAGCTAGCTAACTTACCAGCAACAAACACAGCAGCCGAGTCGCGAGTCTGGAGCTTTCGCCAAACGCAAACTCAATATCCAGGGCTAAAATGGCCTCTTTAGGAGAACCTGTGCGTCTGGAAAGAGGTAAGCCGCTCACTGAAACGCTTTCTGTTGAATGTAATGCTCGGAAGCTTGTGTAAATCACGCTTTTTGCTCTTAACATCCCGCTGTCACTTCATGAGGATGGATTAGTGGACGACAGCGAGCTAGCTGCTATTCGCTGTATCAGATCATTCGTAATATTCAATAAATTCCACGACGTCTACGAAAGCGTATAAAATGTGAAGTATGAATCTTTTTTTCTGTCGTTAAAGCGGCGTGTTTACGCTCAATGAAAGCAAAACACCAGGCTAGCTGTCAGTAGCAGTGATCTTTTGTGTGCACTGTTAGCATGTTCACTCCAGGACAGCGTTAATATTAGAGATCAGTGTATTTGATTGTTTCTGCTGGTTTAGTACAGTCTTTCAGTGACATCTTGACAGCCAGCATCTTATTTGTAGTCCAACTGACAGTTTATGGGGCTTTAAGTTGTGAAGAGTGAGCGTTGGCTAGTCGTTTAGCAAAAGCGTTTAAGCATTTTGATTTTGCATCTCTTTTGATATTCGTGTCTTTAATAGTATTACGTACTGATATGATTAAAAATATTTGCAGAATGAAGAAACCTAAGTTACTTCTGTGGCTGAAGCTGAGAACCAAAAATGTCTTTCGTTTAGAAGTTATTTTATATTTCAGATTAATTAACAAACTGTATAACTTCTTAGTTGTAGAGAAATGTTATAATAATAATAATAATAGTAGTAGTAGTAATTATTTTCATCATCATCAAAAAAAATCACGACAAACAATTATTTGGCTTTAAGGAGAGAGAATTTACGTTCTGAAATATTTATTTGACCATGTAATGATTATTAGGCATAGATGTTTAGCCAAAGACAACTTCAGATTGAATGATGCAAATGATTGTCCACAGCCTCGGTCATGCCCTCATTGTTTTGCATATGTCCTTTTCCAGACATATCTCGTGCCATTGAGCTGCTGGACAAACTCCAGAGAACAGGGGAAGTGCCTCCCCAGAAGCTGCAGGCGCTGCAGAGGGTTTTGCAGAGCGAGTTCTGCAATGCCGTACGGGAGGTGAGTGTGCCAGCATCACATTGATGCATTCAAATGAACGCAAGTCCTTATGTAATCTTGTAACTCATGAGTGTAAAAAGTGCAGACTGTTTTGTCTTGTTCACCTGCGTAGGAGTAAATTTGGTAAATATGCCAACAGACATTACTTTTAAGTGCGTAATTGTACTTAAAATATTGGGCATTATTTTAGGCCATTTGATTGCCCATGATGATTTCGGTTGTCTTTTACATAACTGTGCTTGTAATTATTAGAGATTTGACCATTCAGAAGAGATTCCTCATGAAAATATAAAAACTTTACATCTTTATTCTTGAAATCTGAAATAAAATCTGCTTACAATCATTTTCACTAACAAATCATGACTGAAAGATTTGCCATGCATTTACCATAAATTTACCAAAAAAGTAGGAGCAACTGAAACCACATATACGCAAAACCACATCCCCCTAATCAAAATCAGATTAAATGTTATTAATTTTTATCATATAAAGTGAAAGAGCAAGAAAAGTGGCATAATAGCTTGAGCTGTGAGGTTTCTCTGTATAACAACGCATGTAACACATGTACAACTGGATGATGAGAGGTCTGTAATCTGGGTCTGTTTAAAAGGTGTTTATTATGTATGAACTGGTTTTGAAGAGCGCACGTCTTTAGAAAGTGTCATGTTTGCTGAGAGTGACGAAAGGCTGTGAAGGAAAGGTTGTGTGAAAGTCCTTGTATGGAGATGATTTTGGCATGTTTTATGCAAATAACAAACCTCTGGCACACAGAAGCTCATTTAGAGTACTCCAAATTCATTACCATTAAATTTAAGAGCAAGTTCATGTCGATTAGGTTGAATTTTTTTGTTAGAGCTTCTCCTGTGTGTACAAATATGAAACAATCCACGCAATTATGAATGAATGAGACCCACTGTCGTAAAAATGCTGTGGACCATTGTGCATAAATCGGGGGGGGGGGGGGAACCAAAGACAACAAGGTGTGAAGGAGGTACCAAAGAACAACATAGACCAGTGATTAAAAAAAATATACAGAGCAGACGGAAGTTGTTTCATGCTCTCCCCCCACCCCCTTTCTGCTCAAGTACTCGGCTCATTTACTCAAGTCGTTATGACTGAAATTGCCCTCATCACTAATGCTTATGACAAAGTGCTCATTAGAGTAGTACATGGGTAGTTATTGTTGTGTAGAAGGACTGGATTCTGGATATTGATTCTGATGTCCACAAATAGCATCAATCCATTTGTCTGTTTCAGACTGGGCATAAAACTCCGCTGTAGTGTTCTGTTGCCCATGTAGTGAATCTAAGACTGTTGGCACTTGACTGGTCTCCCTGCTGCTTGGTCATCTGTCGCGCTCACTGAAGACTGAAGTGATGCTCACAGCAGAGATGCGCTTCTTTGCCTTACGTGAGAGCCTAGAATAAAGCAGAGGTTTCTGAAAGCAAAGATTTGTGGAAAGATTGGTT